CCTCCGCTACACAATCATGTCAGTAACTGTTCTAGAAACCCTCGAAGCAACATGCTTCATAGCAGTGGACAGACCTTTGCGAAGAAGTCAAGTCAATCACGAGCCTTCTAGTAGTGGACAGACCCTTGCGAGCAGCAAATGAGTCTACGGCTTATTCTCCACTGATAGTTCTCAAGCAGGCGACAAAGATCTCTTTCTTCCACCTCCACTAGCAATAGGCTTCACGGTAATGATCGGACGAGCAAACGCCTCACCCTTGATCTTCCTAATCTCCTCATTCGGGGACAACCCACCTTTCTTCCTACGAAGAAGACTGAGCAACCAACGTCACTCGCGATATTCAGCAGGGATCCCGAAAGTAATGTGCACCTTCTTCATGTATGGAGAAGTCTTGGGAGCTAAACCGAAATCTAAATCTACATAAATAGAGAAGGACATGCAACTCAACAAAAGTATAAAGCAGCTTAGAGACTAAGCGGATTCCCACTCCCCGTTGATTTCTAGGATCTTTCTAGCCCAGTCATGATCCCCTTTGCTCGAGCGATCGAAAAGCCTATGGCGAGTCCTCAGCTACCAAACACCATTGATGTGGCCTATCTCAAAGAAGTACCAAAACTTGTTGCAGTCAGGTCCAAGTCAAAAAACCTGCTTAAGTTGTGGAACCCCACCATTATGCAAACCGCGTTTGGAAAACACTGAGCAGGAGCACACTTCATGGAACAGATCACCTCTTGGAAGAATCGAGGCATGGGAAAGGTGAACCCCTACACGAAGTAGTAGGGGTGAAACTTGATAGCTTTCCTAGACCTACACGGTTCACTGCTACTACCATCATTGGCCCACTTCACGAGGAAGTCTTTGAACTGCTCATCAGAACCTATCTTGACATGAGCGGCCCTGAAGTAACCTAACTTACTTGCAAATCCACCCTGGCGATACAACGGCAAAATAAATTCATCATTCTTTTGGCTCGAGGAAGACATGTAGGAAAATCCTACAACGGTGCAAGGAAAAATTGTTATAAGGCCGCTCGAAGAAGAAAATAAAAAACAAATAGAAAAAAGGGCCGCAGAACCCAGCGCCCCGCGCCGAGCCCCACAGCCCAACCCTTACGGTGCAGCAGCAGAAAGCCCAGCCCTAGCTGGCTCCTTTGTCTCTATCGGCCCAGTAGGCCCTTGTGACCCCAACCAACATGAGGAGGCAAGCACCACTGCACAATCTCTTTCTCTCTCTTGCGTCTCTCCAATGTTGCACGGGCCTGAACCCAGCAGCCTAAGATCAGGTCCAAGCGCCCCAACGCTGACCTCCTCGGCCCAACCCAACAACGCCACGTAGTGGCCAAGCTGCCACGACATCCCATGGCTGCCCCTTTTCACCACACCTCGACCACCATTGAGCCAAAATTCAAGCCCCAAGGCTCTAAAAATCAAGAAGAATGAGAAAATTAATTTTTTTTTCTTACCATGAACAAGAAGAAAAACAACGAAACATAATTCTTTGCATGAGCAAGTGAAGAAGATTCCTAGGGGAGGGGAAACAAATATTTTCTTGCTTTCTCTTTTTCTTGCGGGGTTTTAGTTGCACTCCAAATTTATTTAATTCCCTGCTTGACGCTGACTTAAATAGGTTTTGGTGTCAATTACATTCCATTTCCTAGAAGAATTTAAATTCCAATTAAAAAAAAAAAAGGAATCTACCTCAAATTGGGACACAAACTCCATTGTAGCTTTGGATTCCTACACCTTCTGCCCTTTCCTGCAAGCAGCCCAACATGTGTAGGGGCATTTGTGGAGCAAAAAATATTCCCAAAAATCATGGAGTTGACACGTGGATTATTCCCCAAGAAAAACAAGACTGCCCCTATTAAATGAGTTAGGAGCAGTCTCATTCACCACTCGCAACTGAGGTAGAGCAGGCAGAGATCAACGACTGCTCAAGACACCCCTGCCCGTAGGAAAAGTCAAAGGTATTTATGATAGGATAATTCCTTATTCTTATCATAAATACATTCCTAATCAGAGAATACCTCTTTCAAGTAAGTAATCCTAATCCCATTTATTTAGGATATTTACCAAATTACTCCAAGATATTTGTTTACACAAATATCTTGGAATATTATCACCCAAAATACCACCTAGGGCCGGCCACCCCTAAACCCTAGAGGGCCGGCCCATACTCCTCTTCTCTTCTATAAATACCCACTTTATCTCCAAAATTCATGAGGCTTTTGTTACTCGAAAACTTCTAAACATATTCTTTTCAGAATTCTAACTTTGGCATTGAAGATTCTTCGGCCAGAGCCCCCCTCCCCCAAATTCATCTTGGGCGTGTAAGGTTTTTGGCCTTAATCTTAGATGTTATTATTTTGCAGGTGCAGATTCGTCAATCAAGGGAAGGTGGAAATTTGCATCCACAACGGTTATTGCGGAAGCAGTCTAAACCCAGCTCGAATGAATCGAAAAGCACGTCCTTTCTTTGGAACCCATTGCACAGCCTCCAACCAAAGTCCCCTGATTTTCTTCATTGTTGTTTGGAACTTATGTGAGGCCGGACAACACAAGCACATACCAACTATAATTGGGTTTGGGACAGGAAACAAGTTTTCGAATGAGAAGGATGTTTTTTACGACAACGATGTTTGAGCAAACGCAGGAGAGGGAGTTTTTGTAGGAGGACAATACTTACATAATTAAGACGAAAAGAGTTGATATTAGGGGTACAATTTAAACCCAAGAAAGTTTGAATTTAGGTCGGGTACCATTTTAATTAAGTGACAAATCATTTATGGTCTCGGTTTCATCCTAGGCTCATTCTGATGGAATCGTTTTCAATTGTTCAATTTTCAACCAACGAACCACATTTCGTTCGCACACACGCAGTGGCGAAGCCACGTGAGGATGAGGAGTGGCGGCCGACACTCCCCTCGCCGGAAAAACAAGGCTGGAGCGCTGGCCAGCCCCTCCCCTCCTGCTGTTGCTGCTCTTCGTCTCCTCTGGTGTAGCGCCAGTGCTGCTGTTCTGCTCTGTGTTGAATTTGTTTTTCAAAACACCCAGTGCCATTTCGTATAAGTGGGGAAAAGAAACTGGTTAAAAATTTTGAAAAAAGTAGAACGAAACGGTACCGTTTCGTATAAGTAGGGAAAAGAAAAAAAAATTATATAGGGGGACCACTGTCTCCAAACCCTCCGGCTGTTGGTCCTGTTTCAAGCCATCGAACGCTCCACTATGCTCAGCGCACGGTGGTATCTGCAATGTGACTTCCACATTCTGTCTTTTGGAAGCAAAAGATTTGCCTGACTTGGTGAGGCTGTTATCGGGAAAAGTGTATGAAACTGCCATTGAAGCAATTCAAACTTTTTCGACATTGGTTGTCAAAGCCTCTCCTCAAAGAGGAGCCAGCGTCTTGCATGAGGCTGATGCCATAAAGCCAATGTTGGAGATTTTGTCTTGGGGAACAGATTCTCTACAAGAAGATGCATTGAGTCTCCTCGAAAAGGTTTTCATGTCGAAGGAAATGGTTGATGTGTATGGATCAGCAGCTAGATTAAATCTTGCTGGTCTAACTAGCACGAACATCCATGAGGATGGTCGCCATTGTCACTCCTTGAACGTTATTCGGAATCATCAACTTCTTTTACTCCGGGACTGATGTAAGGCTAACAAGTTTTGGTTATCAGATCAGAAGAACAAATGTACTTCAACTCTGTGAATATACAAGGATTGAGTTAGTAAATTTAGTGCAGCAATTGTCACTAGCAAACATATTTATCATACTATTCAGTGATTAGATTTTCCCTTGGATTTGACCTTTTTTTTTATAATTGTTTTACTCTCATCAAACTTAAGGCCCCTCACTTAAACCGTGTACTAAGTCTAAGTGGCTTTTTAATCTTGCTTTGGATGAGTAAAAATTTTAGACAACGTCGAAGTTTTAGCTTTCTACAAAAGATCTCCAACTTCCGTGAATTATCTTAGGTTAGGCTAGCCAAACGAAAATTATCTTATCAAACGTGGAGCTAGTATGTCCAAGTTACAGGGACAAGGCTATGATGGAGCTAGCAATATGAAAGGTGAGCTAAATGGCCATAAAACAAAGATTTTGAACAAGTATCGTCGAGCATTTATGTTCATTGTTTTGCACACCAACTTCAACTAGCTCTTGTAGCCGTTGCAAAGGGAATTGAGGGTGTCGTCATTTTGTGCTATGAAGAGAGCTTTTTCTGTTATGAAGATTGTGAAAACACCATTGCGTAACAAAACGGGAGATCAATGGTTGAGTGATAGCATGCTTGTTTACATTGAGAGAGATGTATTTGCTTTTATTGATAATGAGCCTATTATGCGACATTTTCATGACATGAAACCTCGTCGACAACAATTGTAATTTGTTTGTATTGATTAATTATGAAAGACATTACTATATAAAAAGATTTAGTTGTTGCCATTTTTCTTTAACCTTGCACTCTTTTAAGTTCGCCCCTCCTCCCAAGAAATCCTGGCTTCGCCATTGCACACACGGTCCGAAAAGTGTTAGAAATCGCGATTCTGGTTTAAGTTTATCATCTCGTCCCTGAATCCCTACAAACAGATACAAGCAGGGGAAAACTAGAGATTTTTTGTTCTTCACTTTTATCCTAAGTCCCAACAAAGACTTCAAAACACACCATCAGGTTAGTTCAATCCTTCTAACTGTTATAACTTTTATTCTATGTTTTTTTTCTTTTACTTTGTCTAATCTAGTCATAAATTTCCTTGTGTAGTATAATTATTTCATCTTTATTCACTCTAGTCTATAGCTAGCTGCCGCATGTATGGTTGGAGCGTGGCATTTAAACCAGTAGGTAACTGACTATGAATTTTCATTGAACCCTAACAGTGTTTTAGGGGACAGTTATAATAAATAAGCCCTAATTAATAATATCGCGTACTATAGCCTAACGAGGTAGCTAGGTATTTAGATTATTTCATTCACTATAAGTAAAAGGCCAAGTTATGGCCAAATTTCCCATCCCACAATCACTTGTCTCATACAAGTGCAATACAACGTCCTTAAGAAAAGAACGCAATCCATAAAATTACAAGAAAAATCCATAGAATTAGAAGCTGCGTGGGACGTCCTTAATATCATGGGTCTTTTGAGGATTTGGGTCACCCTTCTTAAGACTCCTTGTGCAAATTTTTGGGGGAGGGAATGGAATCTGCTTGACATTGCCACAGCTGGTATCTTTCTGAGTGTGCATGTCCTTTGCTTGTTTGCACCGTTTTACTTCACATGGACGGCATTTTGGTTGGCAATTGTGCTATTCTTCGTCACTGGTTTCGGAGTAACTCTTTCTTACCATAGAAACCTTGCTCATAGGAGCTTTAGGCTCCCAAAACTGCTCGAGTACTTGTTTGCCTATTGTGGGGTTCTCTCAGTTCAGGTATGTATGTCAAAACATCTCATAGCAATAACAACACTTTTTCAACTTTTGTTATTTTTCTCATCTTTCTTCTTTGTATATTTTTAGGGTCTATATATTTTTACTAGGGTCTGCATTAGGTTAATGAGAAAAAGCTGCGTTTGATGTGTTTATGGTTTGCAGGGTAGCCCGACTGAGTGGGTGAGCACACACCGGTACCATCACCAATTTACCGATACGGAGAAAGACGCTCACAGCCCACTTAAAGGATTTTGGTTTAGTCACATGGGTTGGATTCTCGACAGCCGTTCTCGGTTTGGAAGAGTAAACCACACACTTTCTTAGTCTCTAAGCTGATAACTCCTCACATGTTATGTGCTAGAATATCTTTGGTACAAATACTAATACTTGTTTTGTTAAATTTTCAGTACGGAGGTCTTCGGAATGTTGAAGACATAAATAAGCAGCCATTCTATGTGTTTCTTCATCATACAGTCCTTGTACATCCATTTCTCCTGGGATGTATACTATATTACATCGGTGGATTTCCGTTCGTGGTTTGGCCAATGGTGAGAGAGCTAGATTTCTATTTTCCTTTTTTTTTTCGTCTTTGAGCATATATGTATATAGCTAGAGCTAGCCCTCATAAGTTTGAATAATAAGTTCCTTATGATTTCAGGGCGTGAGGATGGTCAATTACCATAGCACTTTCTTGTTGGAAGTTTGAGTAGAAATTTCCTTGTCCCACATTGGCCATTCCCAAAAGAGTTTATCACTTTATAAGGCTTTGTCCTTTAAAGAAAGTAATTGGAGTAATAGGCCTGGAGACTAAAATTGGGCTCACCCTTGGGGTTGGGCTTTGGGGTGTATTAATTATTTGGTAATTAATATATAATTAATATATCTAATAATTAAATTAATTAATTATTTTCGGAATTAATTAATTATTTTTAATTTCGAATTTAAATTAATTAATTATTTATTTTTTCCAACAGACTCATCTTTTCAGATGAAGTCTGAAGTGTGAAAACGCAGAAACAAAAACACCCATTTCAGCAGATGTCTCCCAACAGTTGCATCCCTTCTTTATACCTGTTGCGAACAGGTACAATCACATTATATATACATCCATCTGCATGGCATTTACAATATAGAAAAATCATAAATCTCCTCCTGCAATCTTAAACATCCTTACTGAGAGAACCACATTAATATTCGCCAGAAGTCTATTTTCCGGTGCTGGAATTTCTGACTTAGATCGTTGAATCCTGGTGGAACAGACGTCCGTTGAACTACAAGCACAGAGTAGGGACGAAATTTCTGTTTCAAGGACATTGCGGTACGCAAGCCTCGATCTTCAAGTTGTTTGTTTTATAATTCATATTCTAGTTTATATTCTGTTAGTTTCTATTGCATTTATTATTTATTAGCATATATAAATTATCACAGATTGTTGACTTAAATTCAACAATTCTTTGTAAATTCGGCTGGACACACTTGGGGATATCAGGCATGGAACACCGGCGATCTCTCAAAAAACCTTTGGTATATATTATACGGATATTCATAGTTGAGAGATAAATATTTATTTTGAAATTTATGTTAACATACATACATACATACATATATATTGTATACATGTACGTACAAGTATTTATTTATGGATAATCTTGAACTTCTATAGGTGGGTGGGGCTGGTTGCACTTGGTGAAGGATGGCACAATAACCACCATGCTTTTGAATACTCAGCTCGACATGGCCTCGAATGGTGGCAGATTGACGTGACTTGGTACATCATAAAATTTCTTGAGGCTCTAGGGTTGGCAACAGATGTGAAATTACCGTCGGCGGCTCATAAGCGACGTTTGAAGGCTAAATCCATGGCCGCTCAAGATTAGGCGGCTTGGCATGCCATGCCATGATATATCATGGAGACCTTTGCTTGCGGGCTAGCTTAAACTTGTATTTGCTTATTTAGTTTACGATAAGATGTTATTCTTCATGCATGGTCATGGTATGGACCTAGCTTCTTGTTGAAAATGGTTTGTATTCTTGTACTAAATTAATGCTCTACTTCAGAAGATCCTCGGATCTGTACTAAAGTGGTTTGAATTATAAGCAAGTTCGAAATAAGAGGAATTATAGTTCATGTCCATGTTAGTTGTGTGTGGTTATGACGTAATAACTTTCAGTCACTTTCTATCATAACTCCGTTCATTTTCTTGAAAGGAATGTTTTGTCTTTCTCATATCGCTTACGTCGTTGCCTCAACATTTTTGTACGACGGTAGTTGAGGCACTAAACATGCAAAAGTTAAAGACGAATGGTATAAATTTTATCACTTCTACTATCTTGTTTGAGAAAGGGTAATGTTAGGGAGACTAAATTTGTAGATAAAACGGTATAGAAGTTGATGATTGGATTATTACCCCTAGTAATGCAAGGAAGATTAAATTTGCAAATTAAATGATGTGTCACTAATAGGAATAAGCACGTTTATCAACGCTTAAGTAATAAGTCTATCATTAACTTTCATGTCATTTAGTTTACAAAATTTTTGTCTACAAATTTTGTCTTACTAGCATTACCCTTACTTAATTGTTGATTGACGTACTTATTTTTTGTTGGTGACACATCATTTAGTTTGCGAATTTAGTCTACCTAACATTACCCTTTGAGAAATGCTAATTAAGTTGCCCCCAAAGTGATTCTAAAAGGACTCTCCACCCACGTGGAGTTGCACTTCCCAACTAACTTAATCTGGGTTTCAGGTTCTAAAAGATGCTAGACGCTAGTCAGAAGGCGGGCTGGGCCTAGTGCCTAGGCGGCTAGGTGGGGCCTAGGCAGACTAAGCGGATTTAAGTAATTTACTATGTATCGTATAAACAAGTGCCTATTTATATTAAAAAAATACATAATTGTATTGAGATCATAAATTGCAAAATAAAATGAACATATAGATTATAAAGTAATAGAACATACTAAAAGCAGGGGAGCAAGCATATAATGAGTGTCATCCAAGTATTCAATGAGTCTCTTACATTTTATTAAAGAAATAAAATGCAAAATGAAAAGTTATTGACTTTCTGTGTAGGCACTAGGCAGGGCCTGAGCAACGTTAGGTGGGAATTTTTAGAACAGTGCTACCAAATACAACTAATCATAAATAAAATTGAATTAAATTTTTTTTTAACAAACGACATTATCTACACTAACAGGTAAGGGGTAGACTTAGCCTCACAATAGACTAGCAATAATGTGGTTCAAATTCGCCTTTGGCGAGAATCGAACCTAAGACCTCTCGCTCACAAGGAAAGAGGAATACCACTAGATCGTAAAACTAAATAGCAAAAACTAATATTATTCTCTCTCCCTTTCCTCCTTCCTCACCCTTTCTTCTTCCCGATGAAAGACCTGAAAAATTATAGTATGAAAATTTTGACATTATTCTTACCAAGAAAAGTAAATTTAGTCACATCATCCTCACATGATTACAATAACAAATTGGGCGAGAAAAGAAACTGATTCAACTCGTGAAAATTGCGCGAGAATTTTTTCAGTTTAAGAGTTTAGATCTTGGGTTGTATTTCTTGTTCAAATATTTAAGTTGTGGGGTTTTTCGCTAATTTTTTAATGTGATTGTGCAACTTTCAAGCTATTATTACTAATTCATGGTGTGAAGCAAAAAATAATCCCAAAAAAACATAGAGATGACACATGAATTTTTTTTACAAGAAGGATGATATTACCCTCGAGGCACACTGGAATTTTCATGCACATGCAACGGACAATAACGACTCAATCAAGAAGAGTCAAAGGTGATCTTTATGGAATTCATTCAAACTTCCCTCGTCACCCCCTCATTGATTTTATTCAATAAGGTAACCTCTAAAACTTCCTATTTAATTTGGGAATAATTACCACGATAATTGCAAGATATTATTTCACATAATATCTTGCAATAATTCATCCAATTCCACCATAGCCACTCTCCATCCAAAGGGATGGCCACCCTCCTATAAATATGCCACTTATCCGACTAAAATGCTAACCCATTTGCTACTTACAAACTTCTGAAAATACATTCTTTTCATAATACTAACTTTGGCATCGAAGATTCTTCAGCCAAAAGCCCCTTAACATTCATCATGGGCGCTTTTGGCATTAATCAAAGTTGTTATTATTTTGCAGGTGCATTTCCGTCAAAGCAAGAGACAACGGAAATCTACATCCAAAAATTAGTGCTTTCGTTGAGAGTTTGATTCACATGCTCGAAGAAGACTTTCGTATTCAAAGTTTCTCATTTCTCGTTCATACGTAAATTTTTCATACGTTCTTATTCCTAGAATTTTTTAATTCTTTGAAGCTCTATGGCATGGAGGCTTTGAAACAATAGTAAATGTAGCCCACGAGGCAGCAGCCCAGTAAGCAACTGTAGATTAGCAGGCCCACGTGGTAGCAATAGCAGCTGCACGAGGTAGCAGCCTAATAAGCAGCTGCAGAGCAACAGGCCCATGAGGGAGCAGCCCAGCAAGCTGCTACAATGCAGCCAATCCAGCACTTGCGAGCCCAAGGCCAGCGTGAGCCCAGAGCACCTCCAAGCCAAGCAGGCCAGACCAACCTGGTCTAAGCCGCGGTGACAACTCCCTTAGCCCAGGTACAATGCGATTCTAGTGTCGCACCATGCCCACGTGCCCCGCATATGACTCGACCCATTTCCACGACCCAGCCATATCCCATGGCCCACCAGGCAATCCGACTGGTGTAAGATCAGGTCAACCATCCCGACTTTAGATTTCTGGACCGACGATTGAACTAGGGGTATTTTCGCCCCAATTTTCTGCAGATTTGCCCTATCCCGGCTTAAATTTTGCACACGTGGTCCACTACACTTCTATCATTCATGGAGAAACCTACCATCCAAGCTCTTCCATTCAGCATGACAAACAACACTTGTCCTAACAAGTCATAGGAATAACGAGCGCCCTCACGCAACAAACGACCTTGGTCAATCAGCTTTTACAGCGCACTAAGATGCAACGTGCCCTAGACGAGGTGTCCCGAAGCAGGATAGAAGCAGATGACGATCATCTCCAGTAGTGTCCCAGCAAATAGCCCATCGAACAGCCATAAACTTAGTGTTTTGGCAATGTACAATCCCGCCTAAGTCCTCAAGATAGTGTATACTTTCATCTTAGCGCACGGATGAACGTGCACTCCCTGTTAGGCTCACGGATGAGTATACATTCACGGTTGGGGCCACACTCCGATGATCAACATCGAAAACCTTCTAGGTGAAGTGTTCATTCGTGGTTAAGCCCGCAAGGAATTCTCTCTAACATGTGCTACACGACACAACCCGTTATGATATCAGGTATGACACGAACACGGAAAACACGACACGAATGTCAGGTCTAATCACGTGTAAAATGAGTTCATTACCACTCACATGCGCATTCTTCGAATTAGGCACTTTTAGGTTTAAATCTACACACATTTTCCATATCACTACACTTTATGGTTTCGTCACCTTTCTGGTGTCTGCCAGTACAACTCGATTCAAAGTCCAGGTGGACATTTTGGGTCAAGTTGTGTTATTATCCCTATTTTTATCCAAGAGTTTTTTGTTTTTTCATTGGATCTGTTCATTTTTATTATGTTAAGAATCTAATCAATTAGAATTTTAAATTTTTTTGCTATTTTAATGTTTTGATTGGTTTTGATTGCATTGTGCAATTCAATCTTTTTTTTTTATTGAGATTCTGATTGTATCTACACATTCTAATTATTTTATTTGGACTAGTAACTCAACAGTAGAGTACTCGGCTTTTTAGTGCGGCTAGCATCTTTTACACATTTGTATGTAGCAAAAGATTCATCCATACCATATGTAGAGTTTGTAAGACCACAACTAATCCAGAAATGAATGAATGGAAAAATCAGCATGTCGTATCAATGGATAATTCAGAGAATATTTCATTCTTACCGAATAGGTCCAAAACCTTATTTAAAAATTTTGAATTCTTGTCGTGTAATAAAATAAATGAATTTGGTCGAGTGAATAAATGGGTAAAGCCCTACTACGGTTCCAATTATAGGGAAACAAAAAGTAATGAGCTTCTGTTCTTAATTTTTGAATGATTACCCGATCTAATTAGATGTTAAAAAATATATTAGTTCTTAATACGGGAAAAACTTTTCCCATGAGTGGATTATAAATTCTTATGAGTCCTAATTATTAGCTATTACCTATTATGGGTTAGAGATAAATGTGTAGAAGAAGGTAGTATAGTGATAAAGATTATTCAAAATCAAAAGAGCGATTGGATTGAAAAAAATAAAGGACTTCTAACCATCTTGTTACCCTAGAATGAACATAAATCAATTAGATGAAAAAAGAGAGGCTAGAGAGTCTGTTGAAGAGTCTTACTTGTTCCGAGGTATTTTCTTACTATAATACCTTGTTTTGACTTTATTGTACTATGTATCATTTGATAACCCAATAAATCCCCTATTTCTTTTCTTGTTCAAATTTAAAATGGAAGAATTTCAAGGATATTTAGAACTACCTTGTTTTGACTGTATCGTACTATGTATCATTTGATAACCCAAAATTCACTTATTTCTTTTCTTGTTCAAATTTAAAATGGAAGAATTTCAAGGATATTTAGAACTAGATAGACATCAGCAACATGACTTCCTATACCGACTTATCCTTTGGGAGAATATTTATGCACTTGCTCATGATCATGGTTTAAATAGGTCGATTTTGTTGGATAATGTAGGTTATGACACTAAATATAGTTTACTAATCGTAAAACGTTTAATTAGTCGAATGCATTAGCAAAATCATTTGATTATTTCCGCTAATGATTCTAATCAAAATCAATTTTTTTGGGTACATCAAAATTTGTATTCTCAAATGTTGTCAGAGGGAATTGCAGTTATTCTAGAAATTCCGTTTTCCCTACGATTAGTATCTTCCTTAGAGGCGACAGAAATTGTAAAATCTTATCATTTACGATCAATTCATTCAATATTTTCTTTTTTTAGAGGAAAAATTCCCACATTTAAATTATGTATCAGATGTACTAATACCCTACCCCATTCATCTGGAAATCTTGGTTCAAACCCTTCGCTATTAGGTAAAAGATC